TAAAGTACCTAAAACTAAAAAACACAAAAAACCATCGTCATCACCAAGTTCTCTAAACCTATCATTTACTAATATTCGTGGTCTTCGAAGTAACTTTTCTTCTGTTGAGTCTTATCTCTTGCAAAGTTCACCAGACCTACTTGCTCTTTGTGAGACTAATTTGAGTTCGGCTGTCCCATCTTGTGATCTTAGTGTTGATGGTTATCTTCCTTTAATTCGTAAAGACTCCAATAATCACATGCTTGGCCTGGGCATCTACATTCATAAGAACTCACCCATTTGTCGTGAAACTAGGTTTGAATCTACAGACTATTCATTTATGTGCTTTCGTTTAGCACAACTTCACTCTATCGCCTTTCTCTTTGTTCTATATCGCTCTCCTTCATCCCAAGATTGCACTATTCTTGAAGCTATTTCTGATCAAATTGACCAAGCCCTCTCTCTTTATCCATCGGCCAATATCGTCGTTGTTGGTGACTTTAATGCCCATCACACCAATTGGCTTGGCTCTAGTGTCAGTGACTCTGCTGGCGTTAAGGCCCTCAACTTTTGCCTTTCTCAATCTCTAACTCAAATAGTCAACTTTCCAACTCGTTTTCCAGACAACCCTAATCATTTACCTTCTCTACTCGACTTATGTCTTGTTTTGGATCCTAGTCAGTGCTCAATTTCTCCACATTCACCCTTAGGTACTTCTGATCACGGTTTGATCTCTCTAAAACTATTATCAAATTCTTCTACTTCATCAGAATCCCCCTATCATCGTACCACATACAACTACCTTAAAGCTGACTGGGACTCTTTCCGTGATTTTCTTCGTGATGGCCCTTGGGTAGAAATCTTTCGTCTTCCTGCTGACAAATGTGCTTCTTACATAACTTCGTGGATTCAGGCTGGCATGGAATCTTTTATTCCCTCTCGACGATTCCAGGTCAAGCCTCACTCTTCTCCTTGGTTTTCCTCACATTGCGCTGCAGCAATTTCTAATCGAAACCGTTACTTCCATATCTATCAGCAAAACAATTCTCCAGAAAACAGACATCTGTTCACTATCGCCAGAAACCATTGTAAAAAGGTTTTGTCTGATGCCAAAGCTCGCTATTCCCAGGTCATTAAATCTCGTATCTCATCACAAAAATTAGGCTCTCGAGACTTCTGGAGAATCTTTAACAGTATCAATAATAAGGGCAAATCTGTTATTCCTTCTCTCTTGTATGGTTCAGACTTTGTCATCTCACCTAAAGACAAAGCTGAATTGTTTGCTAAGAACTTTTCATCAATATCATCTCTTGATTCCACTAGTTGCGTTTTACCTGACATAGCCGTCAAACAGGTTGATCCCTTGCTTGACATTCGCATCACTTCAGCTTCTGTATCTAAAGTAATTTCCTGCTTAGACTCTTCAACAGCTTGTGGTCCTGACAACATTCCTGTTGTAGTCTTGCAGAGGTGTTCTCCGGAGCTTTCATCCATACTTTCTAAACTATTTAACAAGTGCTTATCAGAGTCTTGTTTTCCATCATGCTGGAAAGCAGCATCTGTTATCCCTATTTTCAAAAATTCCGGAGAGCGATCTGATTTATCTAACTACCGTCCCATTAGTCTTCTTCCTGTCATAAGCAAGGTTTTTGAATCTTTAATCAACAAACACTTAATCTCTCATCTTGAATCAAATAACTTACTTTCTGATCATCAATATGGATTTCGGTCTTCTCGTTCTACAGCTGATGTGCTAACAGTAATAACCGATAGGTTTTACCGTGCATTAGATAGAGGTGGAGAGGTTAAGGCTATCGCACTTGACATTTCTAAAGCTTTTGATAAAGTTTGGCATGCTGGTCTTCTCCATAAGCTTTCTTCTTATGGTGTAGCTGGTAACGTCTTTAAGAATATTGAGTCCTTTCTTTCCAATCGTAGTATAAAAGTTGTCCTCGATGGACAACACTCTTCTTCACATCCTGTAACTTCAGGGGTTCCTCAAGGTTCAATCCTTGGCCCTATACTCTTTTTAATTTACATTAACGATCTTCCAGATATTCTCACATCTAAGGTGGCATTATTCGCTGACGACACTACCATTTACTCTTGTCATGATAAGAAGCCTACACTCTCTGATTGCTTGGAGGGGGTATCTGAGCTTGAAAAGGATCTCACTTCTGCTACAGCATGGGGCTCACAGTGGCTGGTGAACTTTAATTCAGATAAAACTCAATTATATTCGGCCAATCGTTACCGTAATAATTTAGATCTTCCTATATTTATGAATGGTAATGTACTAGATGAGTCATCTACCATTCATCTTCTAGGATTATCTCTTACTTCTGATCTTTCTTTTAAACCGTATATCAAATCCATTGCAAAATTAGCATCTGCTAAGGTTGCATCTCTTTATCGAGCTCGACACTTTCTTACTCCAGATTCTATTCTCTATCTCTATAAATCTCAAATCCGTCCCTGTATGGAATACTGTTGCCACATCTGGGGCGGATCTTCTAATGATGCTCTTTCTCTTTTAGACAAGGTGCAAAAACGAATTGTAAACATAGTTGGTCCTGCTCTGGCAGCCAATCTTCAACCTTTGTCACATCGTCGTAATGTTGCTTCTCTTTCTCTTTTCTACAAATACTATAATGGGCACTGCTCTAAAGAGCTAGCGTCCCTTGTGCCATCTACTAAAATTCATTCTCGTGTTACTCGCCATTCAATTAAGTCTCATCCTTTTTCTGTGACTGTTCCTAAGTGCTTCAAAAACTCTTATTCTTCTAGTTTTTTTCCTCGAACATCAGTTCTTTGGAATTCGCTTCCTTCATCTTGCTTTCCTGATTCATATAATTTGCAATCTTTTAAGTCATCAGTCAATCGTTATCTTGCTCTACAGATTTAGTCTTTTCTCTTCCAGTAACTTCCAACTCTTATAGTGGTTGCTTGCAGCCTTGTTGGAAGTGAAGATGTTAAAAAAAAAAAAAAAAAAAAAAAAACTCTTCTTAATTTTAGTATGAGTAATGAGTGAAAAAGCTTAAAAAACAAATATATTACTTGACTCATGCCTTGGCCAGCACGATCACCTGACTTGAATCCAATCGAAAATTTATGAAGCTGGATGGATTATCAACTTATAAAAATAACTAGTCACAAAATGCTCGAACAAGAACCAAACAAGAACTGTGGCTTGTCGCATATATATATATATATATATAATATATATATATATATATATATATATATATATATATACACACAAACACACATACACACAAATACATAAAAACACATACACTTATAGACAAAAGCAGTATTGTATATACAGAAAATATTAAGGATAAGACCAAACAAAGATATTTAATTCAAAAAAAGTTTGCTAGTAAGATGTTTAAGACTATTATGCATAAGAGTGTTCTGATGTTGTGCATAGTCTGTATATGTGGCATATGTTGTTTAATAAGATAATAAAATTAATCTCAAACGAAAATAATGCTTCGATATGTGGAATAAATTATACTTATTCTTAGTGTTTCAAAATTAAGTTTTAAAGATTGTTACATCCTCATAAACTTTTACAGTACAAAAACAAAAGATATATCCTAAGGAAGTTTATAAGCTGAAGGTGTCTAATCATTGTATTATTTAATATACTGATAAGGAAACTCTATTAGGGATGTACATAGAAGACAAGGTAAATTTTAGACCCTTGTATAGAATCTGTTTCTCTGACTCTGTGAAACTTTTTTTTGACAATTTGTTGATTAGTTTATTAGTAAAATAATAGAGGTCTTAAATTACTATTTATACTTTACTAGATTATTTTATATATATAGTACTTATAACATTATATTTTAAGTACTATATATTATTATTATTATTGTTATCATTATTATCATTATTATTATTATTATTATTATTGCTATTATTATTATTATTGCTATTATTATTATTATATTATTATTGTTTGTGAAAAATTTATATTTAAAAAAAAATTAAAACATTTTTAATTTATAAATAGCGTTAATTGTTTGTAAATAAAAAATTTTTATTTATTAATAATAAAGGAAAAATTACTTCTGAAAGATTTGATGGTGTTGTAGCTGCTGTTGTTGTAACTGTTGTTTGATTAGCAGAAAGAACAATCTCTGTGGTTAAACAAATTTAATAAATATATTTAAAAATCTCTCCCCTAAAATCATCATCATATCATCATTAATCTATAACAGCCTATAACATTATTGGACAACTTTCTAAAAAAATTATTTACACTTAGTTGTATCTGTTTTATTATTGTTTAAACCAACTTTCTAAAAAAATTATTTACAATTAGTTGTACCTGTTTTATTATTGTTTAAACCAGCTTGAAATAAATTTGAGATTGAATTCACAAAGGATTGAGTCATTATATCATAGTGGTCTGCACCAATACCTTTAAAATTATCTTTTGTAAATAGGATTGCCAACTTATCAATGATATCTGCTGCTTGCTTCTAAAAATTGTATTCATTTAAATATTCAGTATTGCTATCTTTAAAAAACTTATTATTATTTATATATTTGTTTGTACACTTGTTAGATAATGTAGTTTATATGTTAAAATGTGTAATTCCTTTGTAGTATATTTATCATTAAAAAAATTTAAAACTTAATTTTCTTACTTTGAATGACTATCGATTTACTTAAATTTCAAAACTTCTTTTAATTTATGTTGACAATGGAATACTTCTTAAAATTTTTTTTTTTTTTAATTTTATTTTTGGTCTATTTTTATCTTTACATATAATGATTAATACTTATTAATTGAATATTCAGTTGTACCTGAGCAGAAAGACCCAACTCCAGTGGAACTTGTGATGTAACAACCAATGCATCACTTACTGATTTAAAAGAATCTAAATCTTTGATTGAAACATTGTTGAGTAAACCAATCACTTGTTTGCGTATCTATAAAAAATAATAACTTGTGTGCATCTTATAAAAAATAATCACTGGTGTGTGTGTGTCTATAAAAAATGATCACTTGTGTGTGTGTGTGTCTATAAAAAATGATCACTTGGGTGTGTGTGTCTATAAAAAATAATCACTGGTGTGTGTGTGTCTATAAAAAATGGTCACTTGTGTGTGTGTGTCTATAAAAAATGATCACTTGGGTGTGTGTGTCTATAAAAAATAATCACTGGTGTGTGTGTCTATAAAAAATAATCACTTGGGTGTGTGTGTCTATAAAAAATGATCACTTGGGTGTGTGAGTCTATAAAAAATGATCACTTGTGTGTGTGTGTCTATAAAAAATAATCACTTGGGTGTGTGTGTCTATAAAAAATGATCACTTGGGTGTGTGAGTCTATAAAAAATGATCACTTGTGTGTGTGTGTCTATAAAAAATGATCACTTGGGTGTGTGTGTCTATAAAAAATGATCACTTGGGTGTGTCTTAAAAAAATAATCACTTGTATATATAAAAAATAATTACTTGTAGGTGTGTCTATAAAAAAATAAACTAAAAAAAAAAAGATTTCAAACAAAAACATTTTTGTTTCCTTCACGCTTAAAAAACTTTTATTAATTTAGTTGTTTCCCTCAAATATCAATAAATTTTCAAGCTTTTTAGATGTCTTCTTTACTTTCTAGCACAACTTAAATAATTTTGAATGTGATATTAAAAAAAAAAGATAAAAATAATAAAAATAATTTGTTTTAAACATTTTATTTTTTAGTTTCAATGTTATTTTTGCAAAATTTTAAGTTTCAAATTTTCTCAAAATTAACATGAAATTTATCTACTGATATACTGAATGGATCTAATTATGGTTTCATGGTTAGTAATGAAAGATAATCCAATGAAAGTAATGAAAATAGTAATGAAAGATAATCTAATGAAAGTAATGAAAATAGAATATAGTAAGAGTATTGTCAACATTTAACTAAGCTTCAACATGAATAATTAAATTATGATTAAATAATAAATGAAAAAATAGTCTAGTATAGATATATTAACATGTAAAATTGGGCACAACTTTTTAAAATTTTGTGTACCATTATTTCTTAAATACCTAAGGGTATCTTTTTCCAAATCTTGAAAAATCTAAAACTTTTTTAAAACTGTCTGTGATCCTTAATCTGGGATATGTAAAAAATTGATATGTAAAAAATTTGCCAATAAGTAAAATAAAAACAATGAATCATTATGCGTTTTTAATAAGAAATCAACACTTTATCTCTAGTTCTATAACTTTTATGTTTAGAACTGATACTAAAATATATTTTTATGCTGACACTGAAGTCAAAACTTTAACTTTTATTGATGTTGCTATTTTCAATCTCTACCTAAACATTTTTCTTTTGCACTTTGTCACATGTTTTTCTGTTTTTCCTAGATTTCTCATACCCTTCATCATTAAAATCCAATGAATCAATGTGATAAATCATTAAATACTGTATTTAATTATTATTTAAACTATATAGACAAAAAAGAAAAGTTTTCCTAACACTTTTTGTTTTATTTCTTTTTTTTCTTAGTTTATCAAATCTGAGTTATAAATATTAAAATGTGTTAGAATAAAAGTTTACGAAATAAACAAAAATTTATTAAGTGAATAAAGATATTATTAAGTAAACAAAATTAAGGTTACTTCTTGTAAATCCAAAAGTTGATGCTGGTTTTTAACATTGTTTTCAGTTTCATTATAAAAATCAACAGAATTTTTGTTAGCATTAGAACTTATTGCTTGAGCAAGATTAGTGACACTTTGAACATCAAGCAAATTGACATTAGTCATCAAGTTTGTCATATTTTTAGGTATTTCATTTGGAAAAACCTAAAAATGAGAAACATTTGACATTATTATAATTGAAAAACAAATTAAAAAAAGCTATTACAATTGAAAAAAAAGTCATAGTTCATATAATAATCAAAAAATTTACAATAAAAAAATTACATCTTTATGTTATTAAAAAAATTTGCAGAAATAAAAATAACACTTAACATTATTGAAAAAATTTACAATTATAAAAGAACACCTTTATGTAATGAGTGCTTTCTGTGTATGCTTTGTATTTTCCACTCACTTGTGTAATAATTTTTATTATAAGGTCATTATTTTTATCACCAGGTCCCAATACAAAGTCAATTAAATTAGGCTTGTCAGTAGATGCTGCATTTAATATAGGATAATCAGTTGTTGTTGTACTAGTAAGATTCATGCGTTGTGACTGACCATTATCATAAAAAAACATGTAGTTTAGCAACCCATCTGAGTCTTTCCAATTGTTACAAAAAATGCCAAACTTAGTTTTAAGAGCAACACCTTCCTTTGGACTATTATAAAAAATAAAAAAAAATACTGTTTAAATAAATATAAGTTCTATTGAATTTATTCATATATCTTAATAATTCAAATACATTTATTAAGAGTTCAAAATTGATATGATTACAAATATATTTATATTTTTAGTTTGAAACTTTTGCATCAATGTTTTAAAGATGAATATTAAAAGTTAAAATATTTGTATTTCCATTTTTTGACTAGAAACAAAAATATTTGTATTGGAATTTTGAAACTTGCATATTAGGTATATTTTTATTTCAACTTCAAATTTGGGAAACAAGAACAAAAGCATTTGTAGTTGAATTTGATGTATTTAACCCTAAATTGCTTATATTGAAAACTAAATAAATCTTGACCGAAGACAAAAATTTATTTTTGGAGGGATGATAAATGCTTTCTAACTCAAAGTTATATATTTTTAGGGGGATTATAAATGCTCTCCTACTCAAAGTCATATATTCTTGGAGGGATGAAAAATGCATTCCTATTTAAAGATTTTTGGAAAGATGATAAATGCTTTCCTACTCAATGTTATATATGTTTAGAGGGATGATAAATATTTTTCAACTCAAAGTTATATATTTTTGGAGGGATGAAAAATGCTTTCTTACTCAAAGATATATGTTTTTGGAGGGATAATAAGTAATTTCCAAGTCAAAGTTATATTTTTTGGAGGAATGGAAAATGAACCAACTCAATGTTTTTTAACTTTCACACCAAAAACAATAACAACCTGATTAAAAATTTGAAACACATCAAAATTTTCAGAACCTTCTTTATTTCCTAATATTTATTTATCTTAGTATTGAATATTTTAGTATTAAATATTTAATAATTAGTATTTAATTCAGTATTTAGTTTTTCTCTTTGTATTTAACATTATTAAACATTCTATGGTACAGTCAACCTTGAACTTTAACTTTAAGTTCAAGATGAATTCACTTCTTAACTGTTTGGACTCTGTAAACTTCAACAGCAAGAGCATTTTCTCCTGTCGCAAGTTTTATATTTATATTCTCACTAACAGGTTTGGGCTCAAATACATTTGATCAAATACAAATACATTAATTCTAGATTTCCAAATACAAATTCTAATACAAATATAAGCAATCAGCATTTTCCAGATCCAAATATAAATACAAATATTTGTAATTTAGGTTGAGAAAAATTATACTAATAAAAAGATAAGACTGATAAAATTGATAAAACAGAATAAACAAGTCTATATAGAACTATATAAAAAAAAAGTCTTCGAACAAATTTTCTCTAAAAACCAATTTTTTAATTTTTCAAGGTGGCCAGACAATTTTTGATTTCATTTTGCCTAACTTTTCCCAGACAAAAATGAAATTTGCCTGATTTACCGATGTAAATTTAACAAATGTAGCAATAAAAAGGCATCAAATAAAACTCATACAACTTAACCCAAATAATATGTTTTCAAAATAATAATTCTTAAAAACTGCTTACATTAAATTAATAAACATTTTTAAACAAATTAAAATAAAATATGAAAAAAATAAATTGATTTTTTGTTTTCAATACACAAAAACATATATACACAGTGAATCCATCAAAATTATCTGAAGTTTTCCAGGTTTTCCAGGCTGCTGGCCACCCTGAATTATTTTAGTGTTACAAATAAATAAAAAACAAATTGCTTGGTATTTCCCAAAAAAACACTGGTTTACCTAGTTTATGGAACTCCAAATACATTTCAATCAAATACGAATACAAACATTTAAGAAATTTTTTAATCAAATACAATACGAATACAAATACACCAACTAGTCTGTATTTATCAAATACAAATACGTATTTGACCCCAAAACTGCTCACTAACAACAAATAATAGATAACAAATAAGAAATAACTGTCTGCAACATTTGGATTCTATAAAGAGTTAGGAAAAGGAGATTTTGAAACAGTTTCTTTTTTCTAGCAATGATGACAAATACCTGAAGTAACATAACTTGACAGTTTCAACCAGTTTCCCCATAGGTGAATTTTTAAATTTTAAAGAAATAAAAAATTATTATAATTAATAATAATTTTGCAATGATTGGAAGAACAAATCCTTTAAATGATGTATGCCTTTAATTAACATTTACAATTAAACTGGAACAAAAAAATTAACAATTAACAACAATTAAACTGGAACAAAGATCCCCTCAAAAAAACTTCAGTAACCATTCGCTTAAAAGAAATATTTAAACTATTGGTTCTTATCTCATATCAATCCACTAGAAAAATTAATTTAAAAAAATTTGAAGTAAAAATAACTTTTTGATTTAACTTTTACTTTTTTTGTTATTAGTTTACAAATCTTGTTTTTCATATGATTTGCAATCATATGCAAAAGTATACCCCATATAAAACTTAGTTTATTAGAAAAACATGAATTATTTTACATTGATAAACCTTGTATATACAAGGTTTACTAATGCAAAATAATTATGTTATCATAGTTTTACTTTTACTGTATATACGAGTCATGACGAAGACATTTCAGTATTTTGTATGTGCTTTACTAACATCAATGACTGCTTCTAGTCCAAAAGCCATACTAGCCACAAGTAAAGCGCAATCCTAATTTTTTTCTTGATTTTTTTCACACTTTAATGGCCACAACTAGTGCCAGAGCACTTTTTCTTCCGCTACTAAATCCTTAATTGGAGATCACAAAATTTCAATTGAGTTTAAGGCCAGACATTGCCCAGCCATGTCAGGACTTTGACATGATTTTTTGTAAAAAAATCCTTCACAACCTTAGATTGGTGGCATGGAGCGCTGTCATGCATGAAAATCATAGTTTTGTGGATTGCCATTTGCCGATTAAACTTTCTTGGAGTAATTTAATATACTTTTGTCCGTTCATGGTTATTCCAGGAGTAAAAAAATATATAGTTGAAACAGCCAAACTTTTTTTACAAAGTGTCTGCAAACATGTTTTTTCTGAACACAAACTGTTGTAATGTTGATACAAAGAAAAAAAAACTTTCCCACAGTCTGCCTAGGTCCAATGCTGGTGCTGTTTGGTGAATTCTAATCTTAAATTTTCCATCAAAGGTGTCAGTCGTGGTTTTTTAAATGGTTTATACAACTAAAGCCCAAGTTCTTTGCTTAGGCAACACAAAACTATAATGATAATAATATTAGTACCTTTTGTGAGGAGCTGAAAACTTTTTTGTTGAAGATTGCACAACAATCTTATGTTTATGTTACCGTCTCTAAAGCTTGTTTTGCGTGGCCTACCACTTTTCTTTTGATTGCCATAAAATCATTTCTAATAGACTTTTTCTATAATACTTTGAACAGACGACATACTGACAATAAGTTGTGTCGATACAGTTGTGTCAGATACAGATTTTGCTTATTTTTGTTGAAAATAGAAAATCAAAAAGGTACACAAGAAGCGCAAGAACTATATGCTTTAAACAGAGCTAGAAACTTTAATCAGACATGGAATGTCTGATTAAAAAAAACAATCCATAATCGTGGCCTTAAACTCAATAGAAAATTTGTGATCTCCAATTAAGGATTTAGTAGCGGAAGAAAAAGTGCTCTGGCACTAGTTGTGGCCATTAAAGTGTGAAAAAAATCAAGAAAAAAATGAGAATTGGGCTTTACTTGTGGCTAGTATGCCTTTTCAACTAGAAGCAGTCATTGATGTTAGCAAAAGACATACAAAATACTGAAATGTATTCATCATGACTTGTATATACAGTAAAAGTATAAAAAGTGTAAAAAAAACAATCAATAATCACGTCTGATGCAATAATTAGGCAAGACTGCCAAATAGACATTTTCAGAGTCTAATACTTTAGCAAATAACTGTATTTATAATATATAAATAGTAAAACATTACATGTATGTATGCATGCATGCATGTATATTTGTATGTATGTATGCATGTATATATATATATGTATATATATATCACTTTTTACCACTTCTGAACAAAATAACTTTGGCAGACTTAGTTCAGCAAACGGCAAAAAAAATCATTTGGTATCTGGATTATTATATGCTGAGTTTCATAGTTTTTTTTTGAAGTTTTACAAGCATTTTCATGTTTTTTTTTGTCGTGACAGTTGTAACGAAAAATCCAGTATTAAAAAACAAAACAAAAAAAAACGAACCAATCAATGAAGTAAGAAAAAAAGTATAAATGATTATTAAAAACCATGTAAACTATGTTAAAAAATGCACAATAAGATTATCAAAGTTTTCAATTATAGCTTTATGATATGATTTTTAACACTTCACAACAGGACTGTAAATAAAGGTCAAAACACGTTAATACAGCCCTAACCACTTTAAAATCATGCTATGATAAATTTATGATACATACATACATACATACATACATACATACATACATACATACATACATACATACATACATACATACATACATACATACATACATACATACATACATACATACATACATACATACATATATACATACATATATACATACATACATACATACATACATACATACATACATACATACATACATACATACATACATACATACATACATACATACATACATACATAAATACATATATACATACATACATACATACATGCATATATACATACATATATACAAACATACATGTCTTAAGCAAATCCGACGCACTCAGTCCTACAGATCGTGCGCTAACAGTCATTTAACATACATAGTGCTTCTGTTCTTACTTCATGCAGTCCTACTTAAAAAAAAAAAGAGTTTCCATAAAAATGCCTTAAACATTGGAATTGATGCAACCAATTCAAATGGCTTCAATATAAGTTTTACCAAGTTACTAGACAAGACCTGTAACAATATTGTTAAAAAGTTGCTAACTCATACCATCCCATAACCACTAAATTAACTCCACCAACAGCAGAAACCCAAACAGATTCTCATTTGCTTTAAGCACCACTATCTATCAACAATCTTATATTTAAAAATACCTCTGTCTTCTTTGTGATGGCGTCAGAACCTGCATTTTTACTAAGTTTTTGTTTAGTATTCAACAACGGTAGTGGTGTAGTGGTAGAGCGCTTGCTTCATAAGCAAGAGGTTCTGAGTTCAATTCCCACCACGACCCTGGTAGTACCGCGCTAAACTTGTTTCTCCATGCAGCGGCCTTTTTTGTCAAGGTTCGTGTTTCGGTGTTATAGAGTTGAGGTTATAACCACAAGTAGCCTCCTCACCTGTAGTGGCCTTCTCGGCCTTAGGGAGGTACTTTACTCATAACTAGAGCTCAAAAGAGATGGTTGACTTACTAAAATTATTCCTAGAATATAATTCTAAAAGAATTATTATTTGTAAAAGAAATATTAGGATAGTCTAATCACAAAAATTATTTTAACAAATTAAAGTTTTCACAATAACTTTTTATAATGATCTTAAATTGAAAGTATTATAATTTTGAACATTTATATTTTGTTTTAATTTCTTTTTTTTTTTTCTTTTTTTTTTAAATATGTTTTGTATTAATTTTTTTAATGTTGAAACACAGTTTTAAAGATTTAATCGAGTTAATTTTTATGATTTAAAACTTGCTTTACCAAATATTAGCTAACATTTGAGGGAAAACTTGAATGCTACACAATCCAGATATGAGAAAACCTTATATTTTACAAGATGATTGAAAATAGCATGAAACTAATAATTGTAAAAATCATTTAGTTTTATTTTCAACACATACATATTATAGTTTTAATTTAGTTCATCGAGCCCTTTTTTGAAAGTATGCACAAAACAACTTCAATACAAAAAGAGATATATATTACTACTACAAACTAAAACTACAAACAACTAATACTAAAACAGCAACAACAACTACTACAACTACTATTACTACTACAACTATGACTAATACAGCTACTACTACAACTACTACAACTTCTACTACTACTACTACTACAACTACTACTACTACAACTATTACTACTACTACCTTTACTACTACAACTACTACTAATAATAATACTATTACTACTGCTACTGCTACTGCTGCTGCTGCTACTACTACTACTACTACTACTACTACTACTACTACTACTACTACTACTACTACTACTACTACTACTACTACTACTACTACTACTACTACTACTACTACTACAACAACAACAACAACAACAACAACAACAAATATTACAACTACTACTATTAAAGTGAATCAAAAATTTATTTATCATGGATATATAGTAGAGTAGATGTGTTGGGTCTAAAATTGTTTCTGGGACAACCTTGCTGATATTTGAACTAGAGTAAAAGCTTTAAATATAATGTAAAATTAAAAATTATTAGAATAAACTTGAATTCTCAAGAAATGTCACTTTTTAATGGACTACAAAAACTTATCAATTTAAAGTTGGAAAAATAAAAAATAATTTAATTATTTTACTCAACAATTTGCAATTGTTGAGTAAAATAATTGATAAAATAAAGGTTTATTATGTCAATATTTAGTTATGCTTTTGGTGTGCTGGAAAAAACTGTAGAGTATCAACATAAATAAAGGTTAACTTACATGAGATAATAAAAACTGATAACATAATTGCAGATATTTATCAATCAATAAATTTAAAGTATAACAGGGATGGGATGATCTAATCTACTAGTGAAACTTGAAACAATAATAATCTAAATACTATTTTATATATTTATTAAATTTTAACTAAACAGTCAATTAAAAAGTTAAATAATTTGCTCTTATTGTTATAATAATAATCTCAAAATAGTTAATGTTTATAATTTAAAAATTAATTATATTAAATAAATAACAATATTACAGCTGACTCTTGATATCTTGACTACTCGAAATCTTGAATTTTTGTGTCAAAAATTCTCTCAAACTTTATTTCCAGTCCATTGTGCACTCATTTGAGTCAAAACCCTCTAGATATCTTAAACTCTCAATATCTTGAATGTTTTTTCCGGTCCCCTGACAGTTCGAGATACCGAGAGTCTACTGTAATTAACACTGCAATATCAATAAAAGGATTTATTTTTATTGTCATTATTTATACTCATTATTTTCATTTTTAAAAACTCAAGTTATAAACAAATTTGAAAAAAATTATTTCCTTACTCAAATATATTACTAAAAAAAACTTACTCAACATAACAAATTCCTGATGTTGGTGCGGTACATGTGGTCCTTGTAAACTTAAACTTAGCTTTATATACTGAGCCTTCAAAACCAACCACAAGAGTAAAAGTGTAGTTGGTTGATTCAAGAAGAATATCTTTATTTATAACTAAACTTGGAGTTAAAAAGCCAGTAGTTGTAGCAGTTTCTGACAAAATCTCAGAAGGAACAACACCAGAATCATTTGTTATAGTCCACTTTGCTGCTAGTCTAAAAATTGAAACATAAAAAAACAAAGACATTTTGAAATGCCAAATTTAACTGGGGGTGTAAATTTGAATTTTAATCTTTTTAGTAGAAGCATGACAAAAAAAAAAAAAAAAGATTTTAAATATCTTGGATAAATTATGCATAACCCTCTAAACCACATAAGTGTGGAATCAATACTGAAAAATGTAACAAAAAAATTGCTTACCTTTGAAAACCACAATCTGTGCAGATAAATGAATATATAAAACGTTCTTTAAAATTCAGTTTTTCATCACAGTTGGATATGCATCTAAGTATTAAAATTATTTATTAAAAGTTGTTTAAAATTAATACTGTATATAAATATATTACTGTATATAAATATATTTTTCTTTATTATGTTTTTTTTTTGTAAAATCTAAAACAAAACCTTTCGCGGTATTTTTTGCATATAATATATATAAATTAACATATTTAGATTTAAAACTTATTTTACATTAAGTAATTAATTAATTACTTTATTTAAATACTTTAAATTTAATAATTTACATAGTTTTAATTCCATTATTTTGGTTTTATGTAATAGAGTCTGATTGACGTCTTTAATAAAGTCTTACAATTTTTTACACAGTAAAAAACCATCAACAACCTAGACTTTTTTTTTTAATCTCCACTTCCAACTGCTGCAAAAAAAAAAAGGCTGCAAGCAACCACTATTAGAAAAGGAAGTTACTGGAAGAGAAAAGATGAAGTTTATGAAGCAAGATAAGGATTGACTTTAAAGATTGCAAATTGAATCAGGAAAATAAGATAAAAAAAGTAAATTCCAAAAAACTAATGTTCAAGGAAAAAAACAAGACGAATAAGAGTTTTTGGAGCACTTAGGAACAGTCGAAGTTAAAGGATGAGACAATTGAATAACAAGCAACACGAGAATGAATTTTAGTAGCGAGAATGAATTTTAGTACATGAGAATGAATTTTAGTAGACACAAGCTCTTGAGAGCAGTGCCCATTATAGTATTTATAGAAAAGAGAAAGAGAAACAACATTACGGCGATATGATAATAATTAGAAGTAAAGAGCAGGCCCAACTATGTTTACAAGGTGTTTTTGCACCTTGTTTAAAAAGAAAGTTCATTATTAGAAGATCCATATATATATATATATATATATATATATATATATATATATATATATATATATATATATATATATATATATATATATATATATATATATATATATACATATGTATATATATATATATGTATATATATATATATATATATATATACAAATATATATATATATATATATATATATATATATATATATATACAAATATATATATATATATATATATATATATATATATATATATATATATATATATATATATATATATATATAAAAGAAATAATCAAAAGTAATACAAAATATTTATAATGGAACAATCTAGAATAAAATACAATATACATAATAGAGTGATCCCAAATAAAATATAATTTAATGAAATAATGCAACTCTTGGAATTAGGAAAAATGAGGTCGGCAATAATTTGCCAACCTTAATCTTTTTGAGGTCAGTATCAGGTCGGCAAAAATTATTTGATACAAAGGTCTGACCATTAAACATAGAAACAAGGTCGGCAATTTTTTGCTGACCTCAAAGACATTCAGGTTGGCAGTTAGGTCGGAATTGCCAAACGCCGACCCATATTGCGAGGGTTGAATAATGTGTGTACAAACAATATGTTACATATAAACGCAATTATTAAATAAAAAATCTTTATTTTATTTTTCACTTATTTTTTATTTATTCCTAATTTAAGTTTTTTAAAAAAAGATTTTTTGTTAAGTATTAATAAAGCAACAAACACAAAACATATCAAAGATTAACAGATATTAACTTTTATTGCACAAAAAAAGAAAAAACAAGGTCTTAAAACATGCAGAAATGTGTAAATTAAATTTATTTGTTTACAAAACTTTATAAACACACTAAGCACACTACAAAACCTCATAAACCTTAGCACACTACAGAATTGCAAAAAAGTAAATGTAACAATGACAATAATACTAATAACTCCTAACAAGATTATTTGTATATAATATAATGATATTGTTGTAAAATCTAAGACTAGTCACGGCAGATGTGGGATACAAAAAACTGCCAATTAACCATATGCAATATACAATATGAAATATATTAAGAGAAAATTTATAATAAGAAGAAAAATAGCAACACTAAAATACCTATGTTTTAGCAATAAATATAAAAACCTACTTTAAAGCAATAACTGGTACATTCTGTTTAACAATAAGAATTTCTTGAACAAAACAGTTAGTCTTGATTAGTTCATTTAAATATATATCTTTTCCAGCAACTTTTGTTCCACAAACTTTAATATGATAATTAATTCCTTCTAAAAACTGTTGTGTGCTAAAATTCATTTTAAGGCTGTTTGAAGAAATATCCATCCATGTTTGATTAAAACATGTATCACTAGAAAAATTCATATTCAATTTTGTAAAATTTTCCATGACATAACTTGCTTCTAAAAAATCAGAAGCAACTTTACAACTCCAGGTAAAGGTGATATTTTGAATCCCGCTTTCTTGATTATCTGGATCATAACTGGAAGTTGCACTTATTGTAAAATTTTGAAAAATAGTATTGTTTTCATCTTTTATTTTATAAGCATAAGGTGCATAAAGGCCATTCTTAATGCTCATAGACAATGGTAAAAATGTAACATTTAGGTAAGCAATATAATCATAATAATCATATCCATAGGTATACCGCAAATTTAAATAGTATATACCAAAATCAAGGAAATTTTTTGAGATTGTATAAGTTACTTTTTGTTGAGATAGGATCCCTTCTGTTGAATTTATTGGTGAAATAGAACTACTCAGATTCCATTGAAAACTAAACTTTTCAATTTTACAAGTCTGTCTAACACTATCAACAATTGCAGTAAAATCATTTGAGATACTTCGAACAACAGTTACTGGATCTGAAATAGTACCATAATAAAAACTAACATCTGGCACAGAACATTCATTTACATCAATGTAATTACTAAAACTCAATGTTTGCAATGCATTACTGCTGTTTACAATAAGATTGTATATACTCTCTTTTTCATATAAATGAATCAATTGAAATGACACAGGAGAGTATTCATTCAGATTCATAACTGATTGATTATAATAAGAGTAAGTACCATCACCCCAATCTATGGAGTAATTCCTATATGATCCTTTATCTTGATATATATTTAATATAAAAGGTTTTTTAAAAGATAATTTAACATATTGTTTTTTATCCACTATATAAAGTGAAGGATAAGGTATTGTTTTCACTTTTAATGGAGACATTAAGCAAAAAACAGTTACATTTGAAGAATTGGAGTAAGAAGAATAAACTGTTTCATTAAGGTATACTAGTACATTAGCAGCATAAGTAGTGATAGTGTACACCTTGCATGCAGAATATCTAGAAACAAAAATAATATGAAAAATATTATGTGAATATAAAAATCAAGCAATACAAATTTTCTTAATACAAACAATTTATAATAGGAAATTGAATCAGCATTAGCATCATCAGCCTTGTAAAACTATATAAAGTTATTGAACATCAAAAAAACATTTTAAAATTAATGTCTACAGTTGTAACTAGTTCATTCAAATCCAGGTGCATTTGAATGAATAAGTTACAAACGAGATTTATAAAAAAACTCAAATCTTAATTTAAAAACATTTTCTAAATTGACAAAAAATAGCAAACTTATCTAACTAGATGCTGAATCAGCACTATATCTTATTATATCTAACTAGATGCTTAATCAGCACTGTATCTTGCTATATATAACTAGATGCTGAATCAGCATTGTTTCTTATCATATCTAACTAGATGCATCTCTTCAAAAAAATATGTACGCAAAAAAAAGTTTAAAATTAAAAATGGAACTCTGCAACATCTAAAAAGTTTTAACGAAAGGGCAAACACGTTTAGTCTGAAACAATCACTCATAGGCAGTTTTTGTAATGCTCATATTAATGCCCATATTAAGTTTTGCACAGAAAAAATAAAATGGGAACTAAATGATTAAAAATCATTAAGTAAGAAAAAATCAATAAAAAGATCTGTGAAGCTTTAAAATTATAAAAATATAAATGCTCTCGTGGTAGAATTTATCTTAAAAACAACTTAACATTAAATTCAATGTCAAATAGAAGAACTGATAAAGAGCAGTTTGTTAAAACTAAAATTTGGGCTCCAATGGTTATATTTTTGAATAAAAAAGAAAGAAGCCACTATACATTAGATAATTTAAAATTGTACAAAAATATAATGAAAATAAAAAAAAATTTTTAATGCATGTTTACCGGATTTTGACAACATTATTGATCATCGTTATATAAAATTACAAAAAATCTAAAAAAACACTATGTAAAAAATCAAAATATGTTTATGGTACATAAACATTTGAAAATATTCCAAAAAAATGAAAATAATTTTAAATAATACCAAAAACAGATTATAAAATGTTAAAAACTTACTTTCATTTGTTAAATCTAAATTTAAAAAATGAAAATAGGGAATGGCTATACTGTGTATATAGCCATTCCTATACACACATTGTTGAAAATGATTTTTAAAAATGTAATCATTCACCAATATTACAATTTGCAAAGTAAATCTATAAACAACGTGAGATTTGTTACCTCTTAAATCTTTGAATAATGTTAAAACCTTTTCATTTTTCAAAAACTTAATGTTGAATTTTTTTTTTTTAAATCTTTTACCAATATAAGACAATTTGAAATGTTTACAAATACTTTGCTTTTTTTATATTTTATGTTCATTATGTTTTTGATTTAAATATTAATTTTTTGAATTACTAAGAAATTATTTTTTTATCAAATAGTTTGTTTTTTAAATGTCATCATGGTAACCATGGGTTGTCAAATTTAAAAATGCAAATAATAAAGTATTTATCAAATAAACAAAAAAAAAACTTTAATTTATATTTTTTATTTTCTATTTTAAACTTATAATTTTTATTTATAATTTAAATTTTTTATGTTTGAGTGTATTTAATTTATTTATTTTTTATTCATCAAGATAAAAAAAAATTCCAAAGTAGGGTCTTTCATTATTGTTTATGAGTTTAATAATGTCAAGTTAGTAAGTAACCAGGGCAAAAATTTTACATGGGCCAGGTTCAGGATTAATAAAACAAAGCAGGAACCAAAACCACTCCTAGAGCTGCGTATTTACAAATCGTTTAAATATTTTATTGTAAATTAAATTTCATGTTTTATTTTATATATAAGTATCATATAACTAATGTATTTTATAATTTTTTTCTTTGTTTTCATTTCTGTTTTGGTTTGGACATTTTTTTTAGTGTTATTTCTCCAAAATACATGATTTTAAGCATCTTTCTTTGCTGACATATTTGACTGACTCGCAGTGGAGTGCTGCTTTCATTTTTGCCATATTTGAAGTAATATGGCAAACCAATATTAAACTCTTTATAGAGAGGTTTCATGTTCAGGGCTCAATTCTTTGCTGAACATTGATCCAAAATATTTTACTTTCCAACCATCATTATCTTGATATATCACAGCTTCCTTTGTTTTACCATTAAACTTTTTTTTCAAACATTTGAGATTTTAGCTACATGTACAATAGCATTGAAAAGATCTGAAACCCAATAAACCTTAAGCTTTACTAAACACCTCCACTAAAGCTTTAAACATCCCTAAAATTTTATATTTACTCACAAGGATTTCTTTTCAATTTAGATTTTCCACCAATATCATTGTCACAACTACTTTATTTAATATAAGCTTTAACTTATGTTTATCTTATCTTATTACCCATCTTATCTTGTGTTGCCATGTTGTCCATCTTGCCTTCTGATCAAGACACTTTGTAATCAGAAGCAAATAAACTTAATCAACTTATGTCAAGATATAAAAAATCAACTTTCTGCTGGTTTTTTTTTTTTTTTTTTTTTTTTTTTTTTGTAAGCCTGTATTATAAATTGTCAATCCAATAGTATCTAAAAACTCTAACAAAATTTAAATAATACTCAGACATAACTCATTTCCAGCATGTAACCCTTCAAACCATCTGTACAAGCATGCACATTTGTCACCATTTGTTACAATCTCATTTTTATTATACAGTGTTTAATATAAAAATATTAAACATAATGGCTTGTGTTAAACTATCTGCTCAATATTCTTAAAACATTCATAAATTATTTAGTTTTTTAATTAAAATTTTTTCAAAACTATAAACAGTTGAAAATGAAAGAAGTAATACCTAAAAAATACCCGCAAAAGTTCTTGTTAAGTTATCCAAACCATGTAGTTTTGAAATCCTACCACACTGTTTGTGAAACTTTTATTATTCATTTCATACTATTTTTATCAATTTGTTTCTTTTACAAAACGTCAAAGTTCTGTTTCTTTTACAAAAAGGTCAAAGAAAACTTTGTCCTACAAAAAAGCTACAAAAGAAATTAGTACAAATGTCATGTAAGAATTTTTTTTTTTTTTAATGCAACTTTAAACAGGGTGGCCACTAAAATTTGAAAATGAAATTCCTTAACTTTCCCATGATTTTTCATAAATTTCTGTAATAAATTACTTGGGTAAAACATCCAGTGCTTGTCATCTGCTTAGCCATTGTCAATTAGTCACTAAAAACATGAATAAAAACTATTGCTAGGAAGTTCCAAAACCATGACTAAGAAAACTTAAATGTTTGGATTATAACTGACAAAAATTTGACAACTGTAACTTTAAAAATAAAGGCACAAGATCTTTTTAGAAATAAAGTAGCAAGGACAATAGCTCATGCTGAGCACTAAGTATTTTACCTCATCTCTAAATAAGAATTTCTATTGATCAAATTAAGGAGAAAAATTACTCCTTTTAACATTTTGCAAGTAAATATATATATATATATATATATATATATATATATATATATATATATATATATATATATATATATATATATATATATATATATATATATATTGAATAAAAAATATTTTTATATTTTTTTTGAATAAAAAATATTTTAAGGGGTCCCTCAAGACCCTCGAATATTTAATGGGTCCCTAATATTTTCAAAAAAAAAAGTTTTTCAAAAATATGTCAACCTGGTACTCAAATAAAGCAAAATTATATAAAAATTTTAAAAATAATATTCATTTCGAAACAAAATTGTTATTTTTTGTTTTATTACATAAAAAATTGCGTTTTTTAAGAAAAAATGAAAAAAATGCATTTTTTATGTTTTTTTTTTGATAATTTTGATAAATAAGTTAAAAATATTTCGAAATGAATATTATTTTTGAAATATTTATATAATTTCACTTCATTTGAGTACCAGGTTGACATATTTTTAAAAAACTTTTTTTTTGAAAATATTAGGGACCCATTAAATATTCGAGGGTCTTGAGGGACCCCTTTAAATATTTTTTATTCAAAAAAAACTTAAACCTAGTGTTTTTGTATTAGATAGAACACATTTAGGGGGTGAGAGCAGATTATTTTCAAAAATGTTGTTTTTTGGGACACCCTAATATATATATATATATATATATACATATATATATATATATATATATATATATATATATATATATATATATATATATATAATATATATATATATATATATATATATATATATATATATATATATATATATATATATATATATATATATATATATATATATATATATATATATATATATATATATATATATATATATATATATATATACACACATATATATATATACACACATATATATATATATATGTGTATATATATATATATATATATATACACATATATATATATATATATATATATATATATATATATATATATATATGTGTGTATATATATATATGTATATATATATGTATATATATATATATATATATATATATATATATATATATATATGTATATATATATATTTATATTTATATATATATACATATATATACATACACACATATATATATATATATATATATATATATATATATATATATATTATATATATATATATATATTACAAACATTACAAAAATAAATAATAAACTTAATCTATACTTAAAATTTATGAACAAATATATAACAGGTATATACACATAATAAATAAATAATACAATGGCTAACATAACTTTACTTTGAACAAATCGAGTTTCTGAATAAGAAATAATTATTAGTTAAAATAATGATATTTTTTTATTCAAAAATTACTGATATCAATCTTTTGTTTTAATCGTTAAAAAGGGATGCAGTTTTAAATTTTTTCAAAAATATAAACAAAAAGAGTGAAACTACTTAAATGTAATTAAATAAAAATTTTTCTTTCATGATATGAAATGACTAAAACTTAAATTAACTTAAATGATTTTTAAATCTAGCTCTAATTTTACAATT